ATCTCAGAAGCACTCAAAAGTTTGGAAGAACATGACTTAGAAAAGAGATATGGGGCTACAGCCACAGAATTACGATCGCTCACGGAATATATTAAAACATGGCCTTTCTTTTTATCAATCATTGATTGGTATGATATTTTATTTCAAATCAACAAATCAAGTAGGCTTACTCAGTCTTCTACAACCTCTCTCGACATATTAGCTAGTGAAATAAAGGCAACAAATATTTAATATTTGTTGTCATTATTTCAACAAATATTGATATTTTAATTGCATCAGTAAAAGAGCGTTTTGAACAGATCAGTATTGTCACAAATCTTAATGACTTTCTTTACCAATCTGAGAGTCTTATCAAAGCCTCTAATGAAAAATCTTTGTCTATATATTGCAAAAGTTTGAAAATGAAGCTTGGTGATATAGATTTTGAGGATTTAGAAATAAAGTTAAAACGATTTGTCATAGTTAACAAGGAGGAAAAATATGCCTCAAAGAAGAGCTGCAAGAAACTTATTCCAATTTAGTTGTTGCGTTACGAATCATTCTTACTGTACCAGTTACTGTTGCAAGTACAGAACGCAGCTTTAGCAAGTTAAAACTAATCAAAACTATTCATAGGTTATTATTAATAATTTTGCTTCATTATACATAAATACATGTAGCTATATTTACTTGTATCTTTAAATAGGTCAACAATGGTCGATGAACGTTTCTCTTCTTTAGCAACGCTGTCGATTGAAATCAAGGTTGCAAGGAAATTAATTTATGAAGGCATAATAAATGAGTTTGCAAGCATGAAAACACGTCGTAAACCCTTTTTCTGATGGTTTGCGACGTACTTATATTATCTGCGTATTACATTAACATAAGGTGACTATATTTGAAAAATACCAGACGCGTACAAGGAACAAATTTGGTATGTATAAATGCAAGTGGTATTTAAATCAGGCCCGTATCCTAATTTAAATACCATTTCTTTAAAGGGAGAGCACTTTTTTATAAGGCGCCAAAAATAAAATAAAAATAAGGCGCCCGAGTGCAATTTTTTTTAGCGTCTATATTCACCTATTTTTTGATAAGATTTTGCATAAATTTAATAAAATGAATAATTACATTTTTATATTTATATTTTCAAAACTGTTTCGCCTTGCCCATAGTGTTGTTCTAACAATTTTTGAATATATGTTTAATTTCAATTTTTTAGTGGCCAAACAGGACAAAATGTAGTGGAGCACGTGCTCCCCTCGCTCCTGCCCTGCCTACGGGCCTGTTTTAAATGGGTTTTACTAAAAACTCGTTTTATTTATTTAAAAATAGCATGTGAAGAAACTTAATTATAGAAAAAATATTATAAAATATTTGCATTTTTAAATCACAAATATTTTCCTTAAGAATTAATTGTTTTCAGCAAAATGTCATATTTTTCAATTTTTTCTGCGAATTCGGAGCAGGTATATTTTCTAAAATTAAATTTAACGAACAAAATAGCTGCCAAACTTTTCAATGTAAGTTTGGATTTCCCTTAAGCCCAAATATCATTGGAAATCGAAAACAATCGCTCTACGGAAGCGTTTGAACCTAGCAAACATATAGCGGTTTCCACAAATTTTAACAAATTGTCATAAGGAACGTGATTATTTTCGAAATGAGAAAAAATTTCAACCCATCTCTAGTCACATTCAACAGACTGTGAGTTCGAAAAAGAAAACTTTCCTTTGTGTAATATAAATTAGTTCTCCGAATTTCGTCGAACAATTCATTGTTATCAAATGTGGTTTCTATTGATTTTTTCAAAAAGGTTATAATTTCAATAATTTTAATCCTTTCAGACCATTTAAAAACTTCAATCTGATTAAAGTGATGCGTCCACTCATTTATATACTCTAGACAGATACTGTAAAAAATATATCAACTTTCTCAATTTTTTTTTTATCGTGTTATAAAAAACATTGGCTTGACTCCGAACAAAAAACAATACTATTTCACCCATTTTGTTGTTGAAAAAGTCAAATAAATGTTTCGGACAATTTTTTAAGCTTAAAAAGTATGATCATAGTGGTTGATATAACTTAAGCACTCTTTTGATAGCTGAATGAACCCAACAATCTTCACACCATTCTATTTGCTTTTTTTTAATATATAAACGCGTACACAAACGCGTACAAACACCAAACGCGCAAAACTATCGTCAAACGCTTTCTGTACGCGCCAAACGCGTACGTATAGTCATCTTAATTAATAGTATTTAAAAAAACTCTTTTCTAGTAAACTCTATATTAATTTAACAATTATAAAATAAATTTAATTGAATTTAAACGTTAATTTGATTGTTTTTAGCCCTATGAACGGCGACGTTAAAATATGTCAGGTACCCTGCTTTTCGGGGTAATCTTTTAATTTTATTCACTTTTTTAGAAAAATAAATAAAAAATTAGGGCCCAAATGGCTAGTTTTTGAGGGGGTCCCAGATCCATTTGCCACAGCACTGCTCTTAAACCAAACCTAAAGAATAATAAACAAATCTATCTATCTTATATTATAATTAAATTCATTTTAAGGTTTTAAATTTCATATAATAATCTTTTAGTTTTTAAAAGTTATGACCATGTAAAGTTTCCATCCTCTCTAAAACATACTCTCATCTTAAACTATTAATAAATATACTAAAACTAAAGAATTTTTTTTTCTTTTTATGGTTCTAGTAGATTTATGTATTAAATTTAGTTTTAATAAAACTAAAATGGCAATAATATTTCAACTTATTAGCAAATCTAACCTATACCATCTATTAATTATTTTGAAGGTATGGTGTCGGTCAGAGCCAATATCATACCTTGAAATACCATTATCTCTAATCTGTTGTTAAAAGATTTACCTCTCCTTTTTGAAAAAACCCCATATACTCCGAAAATGTATATGGGTTAAAACTTTAAGATTCTAAACCAAGTTGATTGTATTACTAATTAAAACATGTACTCAACACTTTTCTGAACTTTGTAGCATTTAGCATACTCAACACTTTTCTGTTAGCATACTGTATATGGGTTAAAACTTTAAGATTCTAAACAAAGTTAATTGTATTACTAATTAAAACATGTACTCAACACTTTTCTGAACTTTGTAGCATTTAGCATACTCAACACTTTTCTGTTAGCATACTCAACACTTTTCTGTTCTGTTTTGTAGCATTTAGCAAACTCAACACTTTTCTGAACTTTGTAGCATTTAGCATAAAAATAATAAGAAACATGTGATAACAAAAAAGCTATATTATAAATAAAATTCATTTTTAATTCAACTTAGACGAATGGTAAAAAATGAAAATACCCAAGCAATAATATAAAGAAGATTTATAGGTAAAAATATAAATACATTTTTTATGCAAAACTTTTTTAACAGACTATCTGTTTAAAAATAATGAATTTGTTTTTAGTTAATAATATATTATGGTTAAGATATCATCTTTATGATTACATAATTATTTACTTAATTTTTTTGAATTATTATTTTCTAACTCTCTTATCTTATTAATGCTAATTGTATAGCTTATAGATTGTTCTTTTAAAAAGAAAATGAAAAAGAAAAAAATTAAGAAAAAGAAAGATAAAAAACCAAAGTTAAAAGAAAAAAACCTTTGAAAATAGAAAGTAATTAAAAAGAATTGAGCAAAATATAATAATTGCTCCTTTTTTGAAGAAACGAAAAAGAAAATTATTTAAATTTTATTAGTTTTGTGTTATGATGGGTTTTATGATATGATTTCCTTTTTTATTTAAGTATTTTCATTTTGTATGAAAACTCTTTTTGAATGAAAAATCTTTTTCGTGACTAAATGTTCGTGTGTGTGTGTGTGACACGTTTTTATTTGTGAGTGTTATTGAAAATTTTTTGTTTGTTTGTTTATTGTTATTTTTTAATGAAATACTTGTATTACTTTTATTGTTTTTATTATGACTATTGATATTAAGATTATTATATTTATTAAATTGTTCCTTTTGTTGCAGTATTTGTTTTAGTTGCATGGCAGGTTTTTTGTTTTAGTTGCGTTGTTACTTTTTTTGTCAGTACATAACTGTTTGTAACTTTCCGTTACTTAACTTGTTTGTAACTTTCAGTACTTTACAGTTTTCTTTACTTTACTGTTTGTAACAAAATATTCAACTGTTGTTTTAAAATTAATATTGATTTATTGTTATATAATTTATATTATTATATACTTATGTAATTATTATATAATATCTTATTATTTATATAAATGTTAATTTATCATCATTATTATTATCATTACTATTTGTATTGATATTATTTAATGGTATTTACTTAAGATTAGTTTTTAACTATTTGTAAATGACCTTGATTTTAATATCTTTTATTGAAATATATTGATTGATTGATATGTTTACAAATGGTCTTCCAGAACGAGGCATGTCAACAACTTTACCTGTTTGCTCCCAGGTTTTCACTGTTTTTTGCATGCAAAATTCTGAAACACCCATAAGTTTACTAATTTTAACGTTGCTATGATTTTTTGATTTGATCAGTTCAATAATTTGCTATTTGATGCACTCTGACATTAATTTTCTACCCACCTGCAAGCGAATTGAAATTTAAAATATTACAGTTACTCTTTAGATAATTTTTTGCAATAAAAATATTTTTTTGTAATTTTAAAATTATTATTTTTTTAAGAATCATAAGTACTCTTTATATTTATAATTTACAGAGGCAATTAAATAAAATAATTAGTTATCGAGTGTGAAAAATGTATAATTAATTGACTTGGCTAAACTTTTATGTCATCAGTAAAATTTATTATAAAATATATATATATATATATATATATATATATATATATATATATATATATATATATATATATATATATATATATATATATATATATGTATATATATATATATATATATATATATATATATATATATATATATATATATATATATATATATATATATATATATATACACCATAGAAGGCAGATTTAGATCAACAATACTAGTTTAAGGAATTTTAAGAACTTTAGTGCATAGGTAGACTGATTTAGGGAGAACATGCAAGAGAATTACAGCTACATGATCTGAGGGTTTGAAGGTTTTAAGAAAACAATAATTTATAATATTCTTCAGTTTTTCCTTTTTTATTTTAAGATTCAAAAGTCTAATCAACGAAACCATAAGAATCAAAGGTAAATTTATCCAATATATTCAAATTAAATCTAACATGTAACAATTCTGCAGCCATTTTTCACAGCACCTTAAGGTATAAAAATGACTTTTTTACAAAATGAGCTAGTTTAGATATCTACAAACATTATTGATTACATATTTTTTAAGAGTTCTGAAAAAATTCTTAAAAATTCTTAGTTTCAAAAAACGTTTTACAAAGAGTTTCTCCTAAAAAATTTGATTGCGTTTTTCTCAAATTACTTAATAAGCATCTTAAGGCTTTTTGAAAAACGATTTGAGAGTGTTAGATGGTATTATTTAAAAGTTTTTTTACTCAATTTTAATAGATTATCATCAGTGGAAAAAAAATTCACCATAAAAAAAAGAGATAATTTACATAAAACAGATACTGTGAGTTTTACAGCTATACCGTAAACTTTACTACTATAGTAAAAAACTAATATCAAATTGACTACTAATATAGTAGTACATTAGTTAACAATATAATTGATTATAAATTAATCTCTGAAAGAGTTATGTCAAATCTTTTCAGAATTAAGTAAACTAAATGAGGCACACAAGTGAAATCAATCCTTAGTCTTGTTTTCTGGAATTTCACTACAGTTTATTTCTGGAATTTTTCTATACTTTTACTATCTATGGTGTAGAGATTTGCATAAATAAATAAATAATTTTTTTTTTATCTTTCAAAATAATTGGTTGCTAATATTCTTATTAAATATTTTATTGATTTAAAAATAGTTAAATTCTTTTCAACATGGTTTTTTCTGATGAAAGCAAAAAGACTTCTTATCCAGTATGTATTTTTATTAATTTTAAAAATAAATAAGTTTATAGTTATTATATATGTGTTTATATATAAAATTGTATTTATTTTAAAATTTTTATATGTTTATACAACAATTATATTTATACAATTATAAGTTTCTATTTGTAAAATGTTTAGAGTAGAGGCAGATTAAATACACCTCTTTGGAAAATGTTATGCTGTAGCGATCATCCTTCATTTAGATTTAAAAAAATATTCATTGATTAAGTCACAGGTAGATTTTAATTTTCTTGAAAACATTTCTTGTAAGTTTACTGTAATTTTCTTGTATCTATGTATGTAATTTTTTTATATCTATGATGTTTTCCAACATTGTTGTCTCTGATACTTTGAGCCATACATCTGAAGTCAAAATCTATGTTAACATAGTTTTGTCATACAAATTTTCTAAAGAATTAATTTAAATATATTATATCTTTAAAATAAAGTTTATTTTAAAATTTTTGAATTTGTTTAATTTTTTCATAAAAATTATATTATATATTATATGTGACTTAATTTGGTTATAGAAATCATTAAGTGATTTATTTAAATTTTCATTAAGGGTATGGAATTTTTACCACGAAACCATTTGCTATTAAATAAGTTTTGTTAGAGTACAAAAGGAAAATGATTAATTGAAAAGAAGCAGAAAATCTTCACAATATATATTCTGTGGAAGGAAAAGGCTGCTATATTTTTGATGTTGATTTAAATGGAAAAAAATTAAGGTAATATTTTCCTTTTTCTTTTTATGAAAAAATAAAAAAAATTGAAATTATTTAAACTAATATTTTATTTTAATATACTATTGCTTAGTATTGATGCTACAGAATCTATGTGTATGGCAAGGTTTGTAAATGACTCTCCAGAAACATATGCTAATTGTCAGCCCGAGCAATTTGTTTTAGATGGTCTTTCTCAAATAATTTTAATTTCAAAGAAAAAAATACCTGCAGGAATTGAACTTCATTATTACTATTATCATAAGAATCCTAGAAGTTTATCTTGGAAAAGCAATGTGTAGTTATTTGAAATTTCTCAATTTAAGTTTTCAACTTTATTTTTTGCATTTAATAACATTAACAATGTTACTGAATTGTTGTTCAGGAAAACTACTCACAACCGTTAACAATAGAAGAAGTTGAGCAAAAACTTTATGGTAAGGTGCTTCTGAAATAATTTTTTAAGACTGTAAACCTTTTGGTTTTAATATGATTAGAACTAAATTATTAGTTAGGCAGTAAGCCACAGTATACCATAGGTATATAAAAAGTAATTGAAAAGTGTTAAATTTTAGTCTTTAGTTTTAAAAAGTAGTTTTCTAGAATCACTCACTTTATCTTCTAATCAATATTAATTAAGAGTTATTTAATTTTTGTTATTGGGTTAAACTTTAAAAAAATTTTTTTTTTACCAGTATTGCGAGTATTTGCTATTTTTAATTACTTTTATTAGCAACTCAAAAATAAAGAAGTCCTCATGGCATCATCTATAAGTTTCTTTTTTTCTTTATTTGGTTTCAGAATATTTTTGATAGGTTTAATAAATCATGTTCTTTTTTTTCAAGTAGTCCAATCTTTAGGAGAAGCTTTTAAATCTGAAAATATTTCAAATTCACAAGTTCTGTTTTAGTTTTGCTATTGTTTATAAAATAAAATTTAAATAAGATAGATTGTTAATGATTTGTAAATTAAAAAAAGATTACAATAAAACTTTTTTCTATTAAGTTTTATATTTGTATCTGAAAATAATAAAGTAAAAAAAATTATTCTTTTAAGTATTCTTTAAAAACTAACTTTTTATTATCATTTTCATAGAAAGAGCATCTTAGAAAGAAAAAAAAATTTACCCTATCATCAGTAAGTTATTTGAATTAAGTTTACATAAGTTATATTTATGCTATACAAGTTTGTGCAATGCACAAACTTTTTTATTTATTTAAAAATTTTTATATTTATAAAAAAGAATTCAAAATTGAAGTTAAAGTAACTGAAACACTTATCTCAAAAATTGCACATTGTTTATAACAGTCTGTTTTTGTAGACAGGCATGTCTTAAACTAATTTTTATCTTTAATTTCAATAATACTACATAACAAATATGGTGTATATTTTTATAATTAATTTCAAGAATACTACATAATAAATATGGTGTTTCTTAAAAGCGTGAATATAAGCAACTTGAATTTTACTACAATGTCATCAGGTTTTATACAGCATAAATGATCTAGACAATCATCTTATGAGTTTGGTGTATGGATAGTATCTCAGTTTTGCAACACAAAAATGTTTTTTGCGTGTTAGAGCGTGTAATTTGTTTGCACATTAAGGCACCAATTTTAAATTTTACTAGCATTAGTATTGTTTTGTTATTTTTTTTTTTTATAAAGTTTATTTTCTTCTTCAGTTATTATCAAAGATCACTGGCAACTTTACAAATAATGTAGAGACAAATCTGATTATGCAATAGCAGCACCTAAGAAAATGTTTTAAAATTTTTTTAAAAACCATCAGGTTTTATACAGCATAAATGGTTTAGACAAATAATTCTATCATTTACATTCAAATAATTGTTGCCTTAAGTTGTTGAATAATAATTGCCTGAAGTTGTTGAAATATGTAGTTAAATGTTTGTAGATATTAAAATATGTAAAATAACACATCGATAAGCTATATATTTGCAGTATATTTACTTGCTGCTATGTTTTTTGAAAAATTAAATATTTGAGTATTACTTTAAAAACTTACATCTGTTAGTTGTTGTAATTTTTTTTAAAGAGTCTTCCAAGTCGTTCAGCTTTAATTACCAATCATGACAAGCAACTTTAGAAATTTTAATTTTAATGTAGAATAATTATAAAAAGCAATTTTATAATAATCTTATACAATAATATTATATTCACATGTTGCAAGGCCAAGACCAAGGCCAAAGGTTTTAATGCCAAGGACAAGAATTTCAAAACCAAGGCCAAGAATAAGAAGTTTGGTCTTGAAAATGTTTGTTAAAGGCCTACGCAAACATTTTCAAGATCAAAGACTTAAATTTTGGCTTTATGTTAAGGCCAATTATTAGCAAAACTGTAAGTAGCAAGTGCTGTGTCAATAAGAAAATATACTTGTAGATATATATGAAAGCCTAAAACAAAACTACTTAAAAATAAAGAATTAAGTCGTTAAAATACTTAAAAATAAAATTATTTATTTTTATGTATTTTTGTGCTTAATGTTGATTAATACTAATATTAACATCTTTTAATTAAAGATTATTAGTTATTAGTTGTTAGCATTAACTAATAAATATAACTATAAGTCTTTATTACATTTAAGAAACATCAAAGTTTCAAGCAACTAATCAGACATACAGGCTCTATGAGGGGCACATTATCAATCCACTCTGACAAAACATAGGTTTGACAGGAGCAAACAATGCATGGACACTGAAATACTTATCAAAAATAGATTTATAATTTTTGAATATTGTTTAATTGTGTAAAGTTTTTTGTAAAAAAAAATAATTTTGATTAAATGGTAGTTAATAATAAAGGCCAATGCCAAAATTTTCAAGGCCTGGACCAAGGCCAAGGCCTTAATTTTACGGACATAAGGCAAGGCCAAGGCCAAAGCTAAAGAATAACAACTCTGATAAATAATATATGTGTTTGGCAACGCAGAAGTATTTTTTGTATATTAAAGCATATTTGTAGATTAAGGTACCAGTACTGAAATTTACTTGCTGCAGTTTTATTCTAGAAAGCCATTAAATTCTTGAAATCTGAAACCTGATACTTTGTTTCTCTTATTTTACTTATATTTTACTCATACAGTTTTATTATCAAAAATAATTAGCAATTTTAAAAATAATCATGTAAAGAAAAAGCTAAAAATTCAATATCAGTGTTTAAAATTATTTTTTTTAATTATTTTTTTAACAAAAGCATTCTTCTATCTAGTGTCCTTCAGTATCATTTTCAAAGAAATCTTTTAATGAAGAAAATTTGAATCTAGAAGTAAATATATTAGGCAATTGCAGTAGCTAATAAAAAGATGTTTTTATAATAGGTTTATAAATTATCTAATTGCTAGACAATAATTTTTTTTTTTTTAAAGTTTTTCAGTATCTCCATCAAGGAAGAGTTGCGATGAACCAAATATTAAATACCTTTTTAAGAAATGTGAATTATTTGTTAGTTTGACAAGATAATAATATTTTTCTCTACAATCTTTTATAAGAATCAATATTCAGGATATGGAAAGAAGTAACTAATGATTTAGAAGTGTGTTGAACATAAATATAAATGGGGTACTCACAGATTTTTTCAATTATTTGAAAACTTTGCCTCTGATATATATATATATATATATATATATATATATATATATATATATATATATATATATATATATATATATATATATATATATATATATATATATATATATATTATATATATATATATATATATATATATATATATATATATATATATATATATATATATATATATATATATATATATATATTTTGATACTGCAACATTTTCATTATAATTAAAGTTTAATATTTTAAAATTGTATAAACTATTGTTTACACCCAATCCCAATTTATTTACATTCATTGTTGCAAGCTTTTTTTAATTTTCTTACCACCAGAAATTCTTAAGCTAGTTCAAGATATTTTAAATTGCATTTAATAATAGTACTTACTAAGAGTTAGTTCTCCAAGGCGTTCCTGGTGATGATTATTTTAGCAATTTATCAATAATTTTTTTTTATTAAATTTCTTTGCCAATATTTTGACCAATACAATCAAAATGACATATTATTCTGCACTTCTTAGAAGTATGGCTTAAAACATCTTTAAAACTAATTGCAATTGTTTTTTAAATGGTTTAAGACTTTGTAAAATATTGAAAATTTTTCATAAAAGTTAAATGGTTTGCAATATACATTGCAATAGCCTGATTTATGGCTGCCAATATTTACTAGCATCCTACTGCCTATAAGATATATTTATTTAGACAAATCTATGACATTTTAAATCTATGGTTTTCGTCAATTTAGTTGTTGCTTTTTCAAGCTATAAGCAGTTTGTAGTTAATGGATATTAGCCCTCATATTCCAGCAGAAATGTTAGGTTTATGGATAGAATCTCTGTTTTGCAATGCACAAATGTTATTTGCATATTTGAGAGTGCAACTTTATTTGTACATTCAGGCACCAGTACTCATTTTTACTTGTAGTAGTGGTTTTTTAAGCAGTTGTTTTGTCTACAAAAATTATTTCCTCCTTCAGTTTTATAATCATTAATGACTGGCGGCTTCAGAAATAATAATGTAAAGGCATTGCTGATTATAAAATAACAGTGCTTCAAAAACTGGTTTAAAATCTTTTTTTTTTTGTTGGTCCCTTAACTAGAAAACTAATTTTTTTCTTTCTAGTGTCCTTCAGTATCCTTTTTAAAGAAATCTTTTAGTGATGAAAATTCGAAAATAAAAGGTTTGCATATTTGGCAATAACAGTAGTTTATAGAAAAATGTTTTTATATTAGCTAAATGATTATCTAAGTGCTAAACATGAAAACATTTTTTTTTATTAGAGTTTTTCAGTATCTCCATCCATTTTAGAGTTTTTCAGTATCTCCATCCATTTTAGAGTTTTTCAGTATCTCCATTGATGTAGGCTGATTTCAAATTGTTCATTTAACTTTTAAATACATTTTTAAGAAGATTGTGAATTATCTGTTAGTTAAACAAGATGTTAATTTTTTTCTCTACAATCTTTTATAAGAATCAATATTCAGGATATGGAAAGAAGTAACTAATGATTTAGAAGTGTGTTGAACATAAATATAAATGGGGTACTCACTGATTTTTTCAATTATTTGAAAACTTTTTCTCTGATATATATGTATTTTGATACTGCAACATTTTCATAATAATTAACGTTTAAAATTTTAAAATTATATAAACTATTGTTGCTGACACACCTATCCTAATTCATTTACATTCATTGTTGCAAATTTTTCTAATTTCTTTACGACCAAGAATTCTTAAGCTAGTTCAAGACATTTTAAACTGCATTTAATAATAGTATTTACTAGAAGTTTGTTCATGATGGTGTTCTTGGTGATGATTGTCTTAGCAATTTATCAATAATTTTTTTTTATTAAATTTCTTTGCCAATATTTTATCCAATGCAATCAAAATGACATATTATTCTGCTCTTCTTAGAAGTATGGCTTAAAATATCTTAAAACTAATTGCAATAATATCTTGTTTTTTAAATGGTTTAAGACTAAAATATTG